CAGTGTTAGTTTGTTCAGGAGGCCGACAATGAATAAAATATGAATGCTAAAAATATGCCCCACGCACTTGGCACCACTTGGTGGTGCCACTACAGCCCCATTCTGAAAGTGGCAAATGATAGCCCTAGGGCCCCTCTACCTTGCCCCAATAATCATTTGATGAACACTTCAAGGATAAGGCGTATAATAGCTGCCCTTTTCCCGTTTCCCAATGTACAATGATGAAAAACATCAAAGTTCAGGTTAGCTAACTGGACCCTTCCAGCCCCTAGGACCCTGCAGAAATCTGTCGAGGGATACCCACGAAGGCCCCCTACCCACCCCCAGTGTTAGTTTGTTCAGGAGGCCGACAATGAATAAAATATGAATGCTAAAAATATGCCCCACGCACTTGGCACCACTTGGTGGTGCCACTACAGCCCCATTCTGAAAGTGGCAAATGATAGCCCTAGGGCCCCTCTACCTTGCCCCAATAATCATTTGATGAACACTTCAAGGATAAGGCGTATAATAGCTGCCCTTTTCCCGTTTCCCAATGTACAATGATGAAAAACATCAAAGTTCAGGTTAGCTAACTGGACCCTTCCAGCCCCTAGGACCCTGCAGAAATCTGTCGAGGGATACCCACGAAGGCCCCCTACCCACCCCCAGTGTTAGTTTGTTCAGGAGGCCGACAATGAATAAAATATGAATGCTAAAAATATGCCCCACGCACTTGGCACCACTTGGTGGTGCCACTACAGCCCCATTCTGAAAGTGGCAAATGATAGCCCTAGGGCCCCTCTACCTTGCCCCAATAATCATTTGATGAACACTTCAAGGATAAGGCGTATAATAGCTGCCCTTTTCCCGTTTCCCAATGTACAATGATGAAAAACATCAAAGTTCAGGTTAGCTAACTGGACCCTTCCAGCCCCTAGGACCCTGCAGAAATCTGTCGAGGGATACCCACGAAGGCCCCCTACCCACCCCCAGTGTTAGTTTGTTCAGGAGGCCGACAATGAATAAAATATGAATGCTAAAAATATGCCCCACGCACTTGGCACCACTTGGTGGTGCCACTACAGCCCCATTCTGAAAGTGGCAAATGATAGCCCTAGGGCCCCTCTACCTTGCCCCAATAATCATTTGATGAACACTTCAAGGATAAGGCGTATAATAGCTGCCCTTTTCCCGTTTCCCAATGTACAATGATGAAAAACATCAAAGTTCAGGTTAGCTAACTGGACCCTTCCAGCCCCTAGGACCCTGCAGAAATCTGTCGAGGGATACCCACGAAGGCCCCCTACCCACCCCCAGTGTTAGTTTGTTCAGGAGGCCGACAATGAATAAAATATGAATGCTAAAAATATGCCCCACGCACTTGGCACCACTTGGTGGTGCCACTACAGCCCCATTCTGAAAGTGGCAAATGATAGCCCTAGGGCCCCTCTACCTTGCCCCAATAATCATTTGATGAACACTTCAAGGATAAGGCGTATAATAGCTGCCCTTTTCCCGTTTCCCAATGTACAATGATGAAAAACATCAAAGTTCAGGTTAGCTAACTGGACCCTTCCAGCCCCTAGGACCCTGCAGAAATCTGTCGAGGGATACCCACGAAGGCCCCCTACCCACCCCCAGTGTTAGTTTGTTCAGGAGGCCGACAATGAATAAAATATGAATGCTAAAAATATGCCCCACGCACTTGGCACCACTTGGTGGTGCCACTACAGCCCCATTCTGATAGTGGCAAATGATAGCCCTAGGGCCCCTCTACCTTGCCCCAATAATCATTTGATGAACACTTCAAGGATAAGGCGTATAATAGCTGCCCTTTTCCCGTTTCCCAATGTACAATGATGAAAAACATCAAAGTTCAGGTTAGCTAACTGGACCCTTCCAGCCCCTAGGACCCTGCAGAAATCTGTCGAGGGATACCCACGAAGGCCCCCTACCCACCCCCAGTGTTAGTTTGTTCAGGAGGCCGACAATGAATAAAATATGAATGCTAAAAATATGCCCCACGCACTTGGCACCACTTGGTGGTGCCACTACAGCCCCATTCTGAAAGTGGCAAATGATAGCCCTAGGGCCCCTCTACCTTGCCCCAATAATCATTTGATGAACACTTCAAGGATAAGGCGTATAATAGCTGCCCTTTTCCCGTTTCCCAATGTACAATGATGAAAAACATCAAAGTTCAGGTTAGCTAACTGGACCCTTCCAGCCCCTAGGACCCTGCAGAAATCTGTCGAGGGATACCCACGAAGGCCCCCTACCCACCCCCAGTGTTAGTTTGTTCAGGAGGCCGACAATGAATAAAATATGAATGCTAAAAATATGCCCCACGCACTTGGCACCACTTGGTGGTGCCACTACAGCCCCATTCTGAAAGTGGCAAATGATAGCCCTAGGGCCCCTCTACCTTGCCCCAATAATCATTTGATGAACACTTCAAGGATAAGGCGTATAATAGCTGCCCTTTTCCCGTTTCCCAATGTACAATGATGAAAAACATCAAAGTTCAGGTTAGCTAACTGGACCCTTCCAGCCCCTAGGACCCTGCAGAAATCTGTCGAGGGATACCCACGAAGGCCCCCTACCCACCCCCAGTGTTAGTTTGTTCAGGAGGCCGACAATGAATAAAATATGAATGCTAAAAATATGCCCCACGCACTTGGCACCACTTGGTGGTGCCACTACAGCCCCATTCTGAAAGTGGCAAATGATAGCCCTAGGGCCCCTCTACCTTGCCCCAATAATCATTTGATGAACACTTCAAGGATAAGGCGTATAATAGCTGCCCTTTTCCCGTTTCCCAATGTACAATGATGAAAAACATCAAAGTTCAGGTTAGCTAACTGGACCCTTCCAGCCCCTAGGACCCTGCAGAAATCTGTCGAGGGATACCCACGAAGGCCCCCTACCCACCCCCAGTGTTAGTTTGTTCAGGAGGCCGACAATGAATAAAATATGAATGCTAAAAAATTAATATGCCCAACGCACTTGGCACCACTTGGTGGTGCCGCTACAGCCCCATTCTGAAAGTGGTAAATGATGGCCCTAGGGCCCCTCTACCTTGCCCCAATAATCATTTGATGAACACTTCAAGGATAAGGCGTATAATAGCTGCCCTTTTCCCGTTTCCCAATGTACAATGATGAAAAACATCAAAGTTCAGGTTAGCTAACTGGACCCTTCCAGCCCCTAGGACCCTGCAGAAATCTGTCGAGGGATACCCACGAAGGCCCCCTACCCACCCCCAGTGTTAGTTTGTTCAGGAGGCCGACAATGAATAAAATATGAATGCTAAAAATATGCCCCACGCACTTGGCACCACTTGGTGGTGCCACTACAGCCCCATTCTGAAAGTGGCAAATGATAGCCCTAGGGCCCCTCTACCTTGCCCCAATAATCATTTGATGAACACTTCAAGGATAAGGCGTATAATAGCTGCCCTTTTCCCGTTTCCCAATGTACAATGATGAAAAACATCAAAGTTCAGGTTAGCTAACTGGACCCTTCCAGCCCCTAGGACCCTGCAGAAATCTGTCGAGGGATACCCACGAAGGCCCCCTACCCACCCCCAGTGTTAGTTTGTTCAGGAGGCCGACAATGAATAAAATATGAATGCTAAAAATATGCCCCACGCACTTGGCACCACTTGGTGGTGCCACTACAGCCCCATTCTGAAAGTGGCAAATGATAGCCCTAGGGCCCCTCTACCTTGCCCCAATAATCATTTGATGAACACTTCAAGGATAAGGCGTATAATAGCTGCCCTTTTCCCGTTTCCCAATGTACAATGATGAAAAACATCAAAGTTCAGGTTAGCTAACTGGACCCTTCCAGCCCCTAGGACCCTGCAGAAATCTGTCGATGGATACCCAAGAAGGCCCCCTACCCACCCCCAGTGTTAGTTTGTTCAGGAGGCCGACAATGAATAAAATATGAATGCTAAAAATATGCCCCACGCACTTGCCACCACTTGGTGGTGCCACTACAGCCCCATTCTGAAAGTGGCAAATGATAGCCCTAGGGCCCCTCTACCTTGCCCCAATAATCATTTGATGAACACTTCAAGGATAAGGCGTATAATAGCTGATCTTTAATGGAGTTTTGGGGATAAAATGCAAAACAGGCAAAGTTCAGCGTAGATAACTGTCCCTTTCCGGACCCTGGGAACTTTTGAAACGTTGACAAGGGATTCTCCCTAAGACCTTTAACTTAATCACCAATAATTGATGACGAATGATTGCTTGAAATATGACCCATGCACTTGGCACCACCTGGTGATACCACTAAAGCCCCTTCTGATAGCAGGAAATAATAATCCTTGGGCCCTTCTATCTTGACCTAGTAATGTTGATCACTTTATAAACACGGGTATAATACCTGCCTGTAATATCAAAAATGCTTTTGGAACCACTTGGTGGCACCACCACCACTTATTACTGATAGTGGTAAATTACAGTCTTATAGATTCATTAAGTTGTCCCAGTAATAATGTTCGAAACATACTTCAACCTAGTTTACACTTGTGCCATTTATCTATTTACAATCGATATATATTTATCAAATTTCAGGTTAGCTTATTGGCCCTGTCATAATCTTGAGGTCCCTGAAGGAGTTGAAAAGGGATTCTTCCTGAAGGATTTAACCATTTCCTAGTGCTTGTTTGTTCAATTGGATGAAAATTATAAAGTAATTTATTTCTTATTTTTCGGTTTTAAAAAAGAAAAAAAATTGTTCAGGTGAGCCTTACTGCCTCTGAGTATCTGATTTATTATGTAATTAATTGTTGCATTAATTTTGTAATCATAAACCATTAATTATCTAAATTAACGTATTAAAAACAGTACTGCGTCTGAGTACTCTCAGTTCTTTGATGAATTTCCTTATTGGCTGCTAGCTTCTACGCGCTTAGTGGCTGCTGTTATTGGCTGCTAGCTTCAGCCTGGTTAGCATATGGCAAAAACAAATTGAATTTTAAAGGGATTTTTAGAACTGGTCTATATTCAGCGTTCAGCCAAGATATTCTTACCTGATGTATTAGTTGTTTTGTAAACACTCAGATATGGTCCTGTTTTGCTACCACAGGCCTTTGGTTCCTCCGAGTTACAGTTATAATCACAGTTGGTTACCGAGGCTGTGTCTGGTAAATTAAAGTCAGGTTTGAGGCAGTAACATGTTTCTTCCTAAAAAAAACATCGCTTATATCATAATGATTAATGCTTAAGTTAACTGATTGAATAGACTTCAGTGAACACGCAACTAAATTAATAAAGTCTCACTAAAATTCACATGTTTGGTTTTTTGATAAAAACGAAACATGAATTCTAAATTTTTTCAGCAAAAATATAAAGTATTTCCACAAAATTAAATTTTACATTATTAACACTGCTGGTAAAGTGCGAATCGAGAAAATCTTGGTTTCGGACACCAGCTACTATTGGCTCCTGTGAAATATCTAGTTAAATACATGTTTTTTGATATAAGTTTAAAAATCACTTTCTTGAAAGCAAATTTATTAAAATGTTAAGCGGTTGGATTGCTTTAATACCCCAAAATGCTCAATATCGAAACGTTACATGTAAGTGGCTGTTTACGTCGTGTTTTTCATGTACTCTCATTCGAATGATGCATTAAGTACTACAGGACTGATTGGACAGTTAAGAGGGTAAATTTAACTTTAATTCAACGTTATTTAATGCCGTGGACACAAACAATGTGCTTTAAATTAAATTAAAATCCAGGCTTTTTGATATCATTGACAGCTGCTTCTTCAACAAAAATGGAACTCGTAAATTTACTTACCTCGTCATTGGTCATTTGAAAAATTATTTTGTTAAAACAGATTCTAATTGCACACATAAGTACTCTGAAGTTGACATCAAGAAGATGCTTGAGTTTCTGATTGACAATATCTATGTGGTTTTTGGAGACCAGGTATTCCAACAATCTATTGGAATTCCCATGGGTACAAATTGCGCTCCGTTATTAGCAGACTTATTTTTATATTCATATGAAGCAGAATTTATGCAAAATCTTATGCGTGAAAAGAAGAAAACACTTGCTTTGGCCTTCAACTCGACATTTAGATATATCGACGACGTATTGTCAATTAATAATGATAATTTCCATTCCTACGTCGACACGATATATCCTGGTGAGCTTGAGATAAAAGATACCACAGAGTCCGACACTTCTGCTTCTTACTTGGATATTTTACTTGATAAAGACACTAATGGTAATCTAACAACCAAGCTCTATGATAAACGTGATGACTTTAACTTTTCTATCGTCAACTTCCCTTACTTATGCAGCAATATACCTTCATCACCTGCATATCTCAGTTGATTCGATACGCAAGAGCATGCTCTACGTATGAACAATTTCTTAAACGAGGTAAATTATTGACAAGCAAGTTGATGAAACAAGAATATCAACAGTCTCGTTTAAAGTCATCATTTCGTAAATTCTATGGTCGATACAATGACCTTGTCAGCAAATACAATTTATCATTGAATGAAATGCTGACTGACGTTTTTCATACCAATTGTTAGTCCATTATTTATACACTGAATTGACGACGGATTTTTTCCGTTATTTCCTGATTATGACAACAAGCACACGGCGGGTGTGACCGGTCGGCAGGGGATGCTCACTCCTCCATGGCACCTGATCCCACCTCTGATGTCTCGGAGGTCTGTGTTTGCTCTGCTCTTATTTTGTATATTGTTTAATGGACGTTGAGAATGAATACTGTTCGTTATTTCCATATCCTTCTTACATGGAATTAGTCAATTACTAGTAAATTCATTTTGTAGGTGCTACAATTGGTTTCTGTAAAATTTTGACACAGGCGACTTTTTATTTGTGTAAATGCGACAACTGGTTTACGTCTCTGAGACTGTTGGTTTATGTTACTTAAAGTACATATTATGAAATTATTCAAAATTGCATGAAAAGAATAATAGTTTTTGTAGTTTATAGTCATTTCTGACCATTTCTTGCACCAATAGGAAATGTTCCATCAATTCTTGTTACGGATATTGTGGGTTTTTTTGTTATATTCTTTTGTTACTTTTAAATGGAGTGATATGGTATAAATGAGCAAGATGATGACACCAAATAATTTAAAACTGCACCAGGTATACATATACGAATGTCGTGATGAAGCGATCAAACTTTTTAAAGCAGTAAACGAATGCATAATGGTAATATTTTCCCTTGCAATTTATTTATTCAAAGCATGATGTTTGCATCCGTAGAACTGTGTTGCATGTAGTCTACATTTATCCAGTTACATCTCAGGCACGTAGTATGCAAGTTTTGTGTACTTTATTTTCTGAAAATAGTCTTTTGCTTTAGTTTTTGTAGACATGCCCCTCCCCCAACTTTTTACTAACCGTAAGGTAGCTGCATTTCTGTAACTCGCTGGTCTGAGAAAAAAATGAGATAGACTACCGAAGTGCTACAGTGCCACCCAAACAAAAATCTGTTAAAAAATTGCGCCCAAAAGCTGCGATTGGTACTTGATTAATTCCTCCAAATTCTTATCTCAACTGCACAAAAGCTAAAAAAAAATCATGACCTCTAGAATTCTTCACGAAGTGTGTTGCAATTGAAACATTTTGTCTCTTGTCATCTGCAGAAAAAATGCGAAATTGGCTGGTCTCAATTTCATGGAGGGTTATTTACAACAGTTATTTGTTGTGGAAATAGTAAGTGGAAATTGTAAAGGAATTTATTTGGAACACCCAGTTAGAAATATTTTTTTAGAATATGACAGTTTGAATCCGAGAAGCAGCACACTTTCATGCACAATAAATACCGGTATACATTTTTTCCAGCTCTCCCGTCTTCGGACAGATACAGTTCTGCAGCTAACCGTAAGATTTGCAAACCCAGCCGTTGTCATCTTCGCTAGCCAAGGGTTTCTAATACGCTACTCTCCTCAGTTTATGCGGAAAGTAGCGTATGAGAAACCCTTCGATAGCAAAGATGGCCGTTGTGGAAAAATGGAATAGTTAGAGAAAGGTCCCCAACACACGATAAAATAGGACTGTTCTTCCTAGCTGCAGAACGGAAGCGTTATGGTTTTATATTTAAGTCTTTATAGTCAAAGATGAAAACATGAAACCATTAGTTAACACTACAGTTCTGGAGCTGTGTTCTCCCAATATTGGACATTTTTTGTTGGGTTGTCAATCACCTGCGGCCCTTATCCTTCCTACACATACATTGAAAAATAATGTCACAGGTCTCTATGTTTATAGACCGATGTCTTTATGTCATTCAAATATGAGAATATTTTGTTGAGATATTAAAATATTCCATACAAGTTAATTATCTGAAATACTTAATGCCATCTTTCCAAGTCAAAGGTTAAAACTATTCATGGAGGAGATGTAAAAGTAAAACACTCTTACATGCATCAACAACTATTCCCTTCAAATACATGAAGGGTCATGACTCCCATTCTTATTAAAGAGAGGTCAATCTTTTTTCCTTGGGGGGTATGGGGTTCCAAGGTCTTTTTTGTTTCTTCTGCATGCATAGAAAGTTTGTAACTTTGAAGTTCTAGATAGTCAATCGAAGATGACTTGAATACAACATGAATCTAGAATTATTTAAAATTGAACTTTTGGATTAGAGCCTTAATGAACATAAAAACTCCAGTAACATATTTTCAGTAAAGTAAGTTCATGATTTTTAAGAGTGTTATCCAATATAAACTAATCAGAGTGAATTTTAAATCCTTTATTTTTTTCACATGATAGAACAATTTATGTTGGGGGGGGGGGGGGTATATGCAATACATTTTAAATATTTAATAGAAGCAACCAATCCTCGAATTGGAGGTATATATTTTGGGGGTTATTCAAGAAAGTTGCACTATCTGATGTGTCGATATTAAATTTAAACGTATTTCTCGGATAACAATAACTTTATGATACAGCAGTAAAACGTCGCACCTCATGAAACAGAACAGAAGCCAGTCGTAGCAATTACACGTGTCAAGAGTCGCACATACAGCAACCATACTCGCAATGTTATCAGAAAACTTTATATTACATCAAAAGTTTTAATCTTATGAAACATAAAAGAAACAGGAAATCATAAATGATTCATATAGTATATACTCATATCACTTTTAACACAAATAACGTACCGTTAATCGAGTTTAACACGTTAAAAGCAAATATGAATAATCTAGCAAAATACATAGAACGGGTGTAATCTAAAGCAGTTACTGGATTGCTCCTTACATGTTTTCAACTAACAAGCAATGCTACTGCATGAAACCATACTGAACATTAATAATTTACGTCATAATCAAATGTTCTATCATTTCTGATAGTTAAGTTGACATAAACTGCCTCATTGATGTAAACCAATAGTAGCTGGTGTTCGAAACCAATATTTTCTCGATTCAAGAATATATACTGAGAAGGTTGAGAAAAAGAATTTTTTCTTCTTCTTTGGTTTAAGCAGTTCAGAGTAGAAGGACACAGAGACAATGATTAGCATGAAAAAGGGATTAAATATGCCTACATAACTACATATACATTATAATCTCTTCTAACGTATGGTAGAGCAAATTTTTGTGAAACGATTATACATCCCTTATAATGTATAGTGGGATCTACGTTGTGAAATGATCATTTTAGGGTTTACACGATTTTTTCCTATGGTACATTTGATGAATAAATGTAATAAATATAATTTGTGAAAATAATTCCAAGTCGGGGGAGGGTGGGGGTGTCTCGTCCACAAGTACCTGTGATTCAAACAACATAAAAATAATTAATCTTACATTGGTAATATCCTTTACATACCTTGATAGCAAAAAATAAAGACATTTTTTCATAGAAACAATATTCTTGACAGCGTCCCGGTGTTAGACCGATGGTAAAGTTTGTAGATGAGAAGAGCTTGTTTTCAATACTGGCCTTACTGTAGCAACCTGTATTGTACATAATAAAAACAACATTAATAAAATAAAAAAAAATTCAGTTAACTTAGAATAGATCAACACAATTAATATTTTATTGCTCCGAAAACAAACAAAAAGGAAAATTTGTATCAACCTAAGATATGGATCCATTCGGAAACTTTCTGTATGTCGCCGAGCCAGAAATCGCCCGACACTTTCTCCAGAACTTCCTGAAGGTAGAGAGAGAAGTCGTTCGAGCTGAGAAGTCGTCCATTCTTTTCTGCACACTGTCTCTGTCCCTCTAACCACGTTACTGCTTCATTTGATATGACTAGTGCACGTGTATTGTTCTCGCTATCTATATGAAAAAATTCAAATCAACATAAAAATATAAAATCCCAAAGTTTTGTTCGGTGTGTTTGATCAAAATTCTTCAAAGACCTTGTTCCCTATCATAATTATACCCCTTCCCCCTCTGGAAAAATGGAAGGATATACAGTGTTCGGATGCCCGCCCGTCCTTCTATCCTTTTGTCTGTTACGCTAAGGGGTACCCATCTTTTATCCGCAACTCCTCTTCTACCACTGCATGAAATTTACTAGACTTTCACAGAATCTTTGTTACACAGAACCAATGTGAACTTCCTATTTTACGTTTTGATTGGATACATATTTCGGGTTAGCAATAGCAAAACACAGAACCCTGCCATTCTCTCCGTAATATTAAAGGGTACGTACCCATCTCAAGATTATCCACAAAATAAAATTTAATGATTTCTTTCAAAGATTCTTAATGCCATTGTGCACCACCAATATCACTTTTTGATCTGACACTTTAATATTTCGGATGTCCACAGCCAAACATGACATTATAATCGTATGGGGGTATCATTTAGTGAGACTTAGTAAAATTTGCTGAATTGGAAGCCATTTTTGGAGGAAAAATTGTCTTATAATTCCTACACTGAAATTGAATTTCGTATATGGAATGAGGTTATTTTAACCTGTGATATACGATGTAACATAACTTGGGGAAGTTTAAGCTTTTTTTAATAAACCGCTTCGCGGGTAGTAAACTACCCCAAGTTATGTTATATCGTATAACATGGGTTGAAATTAATAAGCTTTATTCCTTAAACAACCTTTATTACATATTGCCATTATGCACCTCCTATCTTACTTTTTAATCCATTTCGGTTCTCCCATAGCAAAACATGGACTTAGCCATTATAATCATATGGGAGGTGGGGGGTCATCATTTATTGGGCTCTCAGACGGACGGACGGACATCCCTATCACTACATACCCTCCCATATTTCAATCGGGGTATAAAAAAAATTGCACGGTTACATATTTCTACGAACTAGGATCAATCTTAAATCTAGTGGTAAAAAATATACCGAAATAAAAGTAACATAATAACATAAATGCAGAAATTGCACAACTAGGACAACAGAAGAATGTGGTCGCACATATATACTTTAAAAAACAGGTGAAGGAATATACATACATGTATATTACCAAAGTACTCTTACCTACTGTTCTTAGAATAATAACAAGTACATGTAATAACAGCAGTGGTTTACAGTGTACATGCAACATCTTCGCAATCCATCTAGGCTTTGTCAGCTTAATTTTATCTCACAACGTACACGTTTCCTTAAAGGTTTAGGCATTTCTGAAACGGGAAGCTGAGTCCCACAATAAAATATTCACAAATTGTTTAAAACGACTTTTTTTTATTTTTATATTTACCTATCGGGAAGTTTTTTTTATATATAGATATAATATATAATATGTAATACATATTAATTATATGATTTATATCATTTCAGTAAGGATATCCCTTCCTCAGACAGGTAGGCTAATTCTTAAAAATCTGTTATTGAATTTAACAAAAATGTAAATATTTGTGCTACAATTTTCATTTTATACATCTCAATTATACAAAAAATTCAAGGTTCCAAATTTGAAGTCTAAGAAACAGACTTACAAAAGTTTACAACTGTACGCCATAAAATGAAAATATATGGAGATAACGAACATTAATTCAAGCTCAAAAGTTCATTCAAACAGGAGCAGAGCAAAACATTACAGGTGGGATCAGTTACCATGGAGGAGTGAGTATCCCCTGCCGACCGGTCACAGCCTCGTGTGCTCCTTGTCATGACTGGGAAAATCCGTAGACAAATCCGAAAGCATGTAAATAATGGCCTAACAATTAGTATAAAAACCTGATTCAGCATTTGACTTAATGATATATTAAAGTTAGAATTACCAAGATTAAAGTTGGAAAAGCTAAGATTAAAATTCGAATTATCAACTTATATTACATGGCACTTATACGCTTCTACGACTTTTTTCATACTGATTTTTTGTGTTTTCCCCATCATGACGAGAACACATGCAGCAATACGACTGGTAGGCAATCGATGCCATCTCCTCCATGGCACATGATACAAATTCTGAAAGTTTTTTTTCCAGAAGTCTATAGGCTTATTGCTTTGCTCTCGATTTGTGTAATTTTAATGAACTTCTGAGCTTAATTGCATTTGTTATCTCTACATTTTTATGCTAAATAATTACGGAGTTCTAAAATCATTGCGTTTGTTTATTATCTCTATATTTCTAGATAATAACAGAGTTCTAAAATTATAATTTGTTGTAATATCATAGGGGTAGGATATGAATATAAAATGTCCCTTAAGTAACAAAATTAAATAAAACTCATACCTTTCATTATGAAGACCACAAATTTGTGTGTGTGTGTGTTTATGTCTTCAAATGATAAATATTGAGGAAATAAGTGTTATAGTTTCTTCAATGAATACTGAGGAAATAGGTGTCTTGGCTGATAACTCCTTCCTGATTTTCTTTTATGATTATTCTTAAAATTATTTTTGTTAGCTTGGTTAAATACTACCACTACTAGTATGTTTAGGAAAAGTCAATAACTTCTCACACGTTTTCAAATATGCTTTTATTATGAAAGTAACTTAAAATGAACAAAATATTCATCTAACAATCAAACAAATAATTGGCACAAACATATCAATTATGCATGTATATCCAGGAAATCAACTTAACGACATTTCAAAGTTTCAGACACAAATGACATGGCAATTTGATAATACCCTATGATTTTTTTATTCCATTCTTCACTGAATTTTGTCTTGTATGATGTCATTTGAAATATCCTGCATTTGATTAATGATGTCATCACTGTATGCCATCTGACAAGTTTTCTGTTCCTGACAATTATCATAATAAAGTCCACTTTCTCTCTCCACATCTGGTGATAAAGCCAGAAACAGTATAGTATCAGCGCCCTCTGGTGGTGTCAAGATAATACCAAGATTTATATATATATATATATATATATATATATATATATATATATATATATATATATATATATATATATATATATATATAAAATGCAGAACTCCTTTTTTAGCTGCAATAATGTAGGCTACAATTTGCAGCTACTCAATAAAATATTTGCACAATCTGAATAAAGAAAATGCAAAAGTCCAATGTTTATGCAGATTTATCTTTCTTTTGCTCATATACACCTCTTTACTTCATATGAATAGAGATATTGAGAGATATCCATCTGATATCTGAGTGAAAGGAACAAATACTTTGTATAGATATTGGAAAACTACGTCAGAATTCAGATAGTTGGCCTCAGAATATAATAACTGAGCCTGAAGTAGTAAGCAGTTAAACAGTATTGCTCAAAATGTTGCACTTGCCTTCTTAATTTAGAAAATCCATGAATACCAATTTATTTCAAACAAAATGCTTACATCTCAAACTTACCAAATAAGTGAACTTAGCTACAATATCCAGAAGCCACTTGATGGACCAGTGAACATGTCTGTAGAGAGCTGTATTAACAATGCCAGGATGTAGGGCATTGACTGTCACCTTTGAATTTTCTTGTTTTAGTTGTTCACTTAGACCCCAGGAGGAGAGGGCTATGTAAAGTTTGGAATCTGCATAAGCTGCATGAGGTGAATATTCCCACCAGTTTGAACACCTATAGGTAGACATTATTAGTTGCTAAAGAATAAACATATGTCAGGACAAGCATGTTGATGAATAACAAAAAGAAATTTTTCTTTAAAAATTCAAATATCTTTACTTAAAAAGGTGACTCTTCGCAATAAAAAAGTTATTTCTGTCAGGTTAACCAACTTCATGTTTGAACAAATCACACAATTATTTGATTTCCAATTCAAAGAAATATTGAAATAACAATATAACTCTTCTGTGTTGGAGATAAGAAAATTTTTTGTGGTATATATCAAAGAATTCAAATGTACAAAATCTATATTTGAGATACTCTATCAGATTGTTTATTAAATAATACCTTCTTCCAAGATTTTGTAGATTTAGTGATCCCACGTTATGGACGACTGATGAGAGGTTAATGATACGACTATAAAATTCATCTGTGCCAGAATTCTTTAAGATGTCCATGAGAGACTGTGTAAGGTATAGGTATCCTAAATAATTTATTTGGAAATGGCTTTCTAGACTATCAGTAGTCTCTTGATATGGTGCAAACATTACACCAGCTACAATTTAAAACAAAACAAAATTTTATGTTCCCCTCTCAAATCTTGCTATAAGGAAACTGAACTTGAAAAGTATAACTTCATAAACTTTTAGAGAAAGTGAATATCAACTTTTTTCCCACTGTATTCCTTTGAAGTACATTGAACCCGATTTCATGACCTGCTCTGATACTTAATGGTAGCTTTTAAATAAATGTTATCCTTCTTGACATGTGGAGGTTTCTACATCAGTCATGTAGTATAATCTTGAGGATTTAGGATTAATTTGAATTAAAACAATTAAAAATCAGCTGTAATTTCTATTGAAAATGAATAGTAAATATAAATTGTAAATGGAGATTTTGCTTCCATACATAAAACCAGAAGTCTCTGTCGAGACTGTAGCTCTACTGGTTTGTACTTATAACAAAGGATGAGAAAAGAAACCATTGCCATCAGACCACAACTGTAGAAGGAGTAGCTTTTTAAAGGAATTTCACAGACATTTCTATTTTTAGTAACAATGGCAACACTGTTCATCAAAATCAAAAACCGATGCACTATTTTATATATCTTAGTGTAGTCTACTTGTGTGCCAAGTTATATTGAAATCAGACCAAAACTGTAAGAGGAGTTGCATTTTAAAGGAATTTCACAAAAAATTCTTTTTTTTAGTAACCATGGAAACATCGTTCATCGAAATCAAAATCCGATACACTATTCTATGTATCTTAATGCAGACCACTTGTGTGCCAAGTCATATTGAAATCAGACCAAAATTGTAGGAGGAGTAGCATTTTAAGGGAATTTCACAGAAAATTCTATTTTTAGTAGCCATGGCAACACTGTTCATCGAAATAAAAAACCGATGCACTATATTATGTATCTTAGTGTATTCTACTTGTGTGCCAAGTTATATTGAAATCAGATCAAAATTGTAGGAGGAGTAGCGTTTTAAAGGAATTTCACAGAAAATTCTATTTTTAGTAACCATGGCAACACCGTTCATCGAAATCAAAAACCGATGCACTATTTTATGTACCTTAGTGGAGTCTACTTGTATGCCAAGTTATACTGAAATCAGATCAAAATTGTAGGAGGAGTAGCGTTTTAAAGGAATTTCAGAGACCTTTCTATTTTTAGTAACAATGGCAATTAACACTGATCATCGAAATCAAAAACTGATGCACAATTTTATGTATCTTAGTGTAGTCTACTTGTGTGCCAAGTTATATTGAAATCAGATCAAAATTGTAGGAGGAGTAGCGTTTTAAAGGAATTTTACAGAAAATTCTATTTTTAGTAACCATGACAACACCGTTCAGCAAAATCAAAAACCGATGCACTATTTTCTGTATCTTAGTGTAGTCTACTTGTATGCCAAGTTATATTGAAAACAGACCAAAATTGTAGGAGGAGTAGCGTTTTAAAGGAATTTCACAGAAAATTCTATTTTTAGTAATCATGGCAACACCGTTCAACGAAATCAAAAACCAATGCACTATTTTCTATATCTTAGTGTAGTCTACTTGTATGCCAAGTAATATTGAAATCAGATCATAACTGTAGGAGGAGTAGCATTTTAAAGGAATTTCACAGAAAATTCTATTTTTAGTAACCATGGCAACACCGTTCATCGAAATCAAAATCCGATGCACTATTTTATGTATCTTAGTGTAGTCTAGTTGTATGCCAAGTTATATTAAAATCAGACCAAAACTGTACGAGGAGTAGCATTTTGAAAAATTGTTTACAGACAGACGGACAGACAGAAGGACGGACGACGGACACCTTACTATTGCATAAGCTCTTCTGGTCTCTGACCAGTAGAGCTAAAAAATCATCAATAAATGTTTTTCTATATTTAATAGACAAATGCTTTCATAAAGATATAATATACAAGAATTCATAAAAATGGAAAACAACATTTAGTATTAGACTTTTAACGGTTTCGTCCCTTATTTATACTTACCATTATTTACTAGTATATGAATGTTGGAGCATCTTGCCTTTACATTTTCAACAAAGTCCTGTATGGATTTAAAGGAGGCCAGATTTAAATGCATAAAGTCCACTGAAACAGACATAAGGCAAGTTTGTGAAATTGACAAAGCTTCTTTCCTTTGCTGATATTTTTTTTTCAGTTTCTTATTCCTAGAAATTTATAAATTTTTCTTGTAAAAATTGTCAGTCTTTGGTCTCAATTTTTTTTTATTTAAAAATACAGCATTTTTACCCAGAATTATTACATTTCTTTAAATTTCTCCTCCTCACAATTTCATTAGTTAGATGCAAGCTAAGGAGAGTTGCTTTACAATATATTGCAGAGTATTTTTATTCTCACTTGCATGTATGTACAAATAAGTTTGTGAACATGGCAAAAGATGTATTCAAAATGTTTTTTTTTTTAAATGTCAAGATTAATCTTCATTTGGATATGGCAAATTGCAAATTAAATTATAAAATTGTATCACAATAAAAAAAACTTACATGAAATCTTACATGTGAGCATTAAAACCATGTGTAATCATCACACAGACATTCTGCAATTTGTATGATTCTAAAAATTTACCTTTTGCATTAGGAAATTCTTCTCTAATTTTCTTTATAGCCTCTTTCCCTTTCTCAATGTTGTGACCACCTTGAAATGAAATAAAAATTTACTTGCTTCAAGATTTCAAGACCTGTTCTATTGAAATTTATTTAGAATTTGAACTTCAAACTGCATTTGCATCAATTATATTTACAAATACAACGGTTTTAACATACTAGTCTTCAACTACATGTATCTTTTGAAAATTTGAAAACATTTTCTAACCCATGATCACATGGACATTTTTGGAGACCAGACCCAGTGAGACATGAAACCCTATACCACTTGTACCGCCGGTCACTATTGCAATTTTTCCAGTTCTCAAGTGCAACTCTGAAAGAAGAAAAAACACATATTAAGATATACAGTTGTACACAAAAAATAAAATATAAAATTTTTTTAAAAAATACTTTAGAAAAAAAATCACACTCTCATATCTTATCAATGATTGTTAATCTGGAACAAGAAGGATTTTGTTAAGTATATAGATAATGAATCTATAGTATCTGACTATACAGGTCCATGTCAGAATAGGCATGGGCACTGGAAGTTAATGTAAATATATAGTATGTGCATGTATAAAAAAAAGAAGGGTCTTTTTTTTTTATACATGCACAAACTATATATTTACATTAACTTCCAGTGCCAGTGAGAATAGGTGTCATATGATATCACCATATTACAGTTTGTTGAATATGAAAGGAATGCCTTTTTATTTTTTACAATACATCAGGAGATTAAAAAGATACGGTTGATAAGTTAATTTACTGACAATTGAAAAATTGAGTCTCGAGATAAAAGGAAAGTCATGCAAAGTTCGAATTTCCTTCATTTGTACAGACACTTTAACCTTTGTCCTTATTAACATTTCTTTAACATGTAAGAAATTACCTGGAATTTTGTGTCTCTGTAGTACCTGACGCACCAAGGCCACAAAACCGAAAACATAAACCTTTAAAAACGACCAAATGATGTAACAAATTCTAATCATGATGGACAGCGCCATTTTGAAAATCTAGATAAGAGAATCGGAAACGGTCAACTCTCCAAATAATCTCAAATGCAGAGTTGTCGTTCGTTACCCTCCTCTCTCAAACAAAATCAGCGAGAGAGTGTCAGAACAGTACATTCGGATAAACTTCACATGCAAATAACCATAAAAAGCATAACGTACAATCAGCGAAATTGGTTCTTCTTGCTTTTCTCGTTTTTAGAAATTGTTCACGAGTACGTAAGGCAATGCTCTTGTGTATCAAATCAAACAAGAAACATGAGCCTAGTATGCAGGTGAGAGGGGTGCATACCTCTATTAGTTCTGGGTCATTCTCAAAAAATGTCCAGATTTCAGTCATACAAGTTTTCTGGTAAATATTTTAATAAAATAAAAACTTTTTGTGCTCATGAACTTAAATTAACAATGATCTAAAATTAAGAGAACAGATTTAAAGTACGATTAAAAATTGATATAAATACTGAAAAAAATCTTTCAACATGAGTTAAATTAAAGAAAATTGCTTGTGATTTCGCCGAGGGTGTATTTTCAACCCTCCTTATTGAGACAGTAAATATAGTTTGGGAGCATAAAATACCTTTAATGTATTGTAAATACTTAACATTGTTTAAAAACATGCTAAAAGGTGACTAAAAAAAGTAAGAATATAATTTTTTAAGCAATAAACGTTAAAAAAAAACCTTTGTGATTTTCGCCGTGTCCTTGGAGTAACCAAGACATAAAAGTTATCTGTAACAGTTATTTTTCCTGAAGGAACTCTTCAGCATCAGCCGCCTTCTAAAGATATTGTACCCGCCAAAATATAAAAAGACACAAAAACATGTGTGTTTAACCCTGTAGACACAATATTTGGTTTCAGTTGAGTTTGGTTGAGAGAGTAATTTATTTTTAGGTCCTTGGAGTTACTTAGATAATGTGAAGATAAATTAATATATAATGTTTGTGATGCACTGAGCGACTTTGAAGTGAAATACACATGATGTAGGAGCTGTGCTCTATCTTTTTAATGCAGCCATTGCTTTTATACTTGTAACTTTTGATATAGTAATTCCCTGGCGTTACTGCCCATTTTGTTACTGTAGGAAAAGTTACTCGTCGGACATATTTAATTACTCTATGGACATTCTGTACAGAAACTTCAATATTTACAATTTAAAAATAAAATATGTGTAAAGTTTATCGAAAATAGTATATCAATAATATTTGTTTCATCTGATCATGTGTTTTACATATAATATTTTATATATGCTACAAATTCATTCAATAAATGATATGTATAACACAAAGGACAAATTTGGTAACTCTATGGACGTCAAAATGATGAAACATTTTCATTATTAATATACTCTTGTAGTTATTCTTGCTTCAGCGGTAGAGTAGAGAGATTTATTTTGAGTAAATTGAAATATCAAAATTTCTTATGAAATACATCTTTATCCCTTTTTAACCCTATAATACTTAACTATGGTAACATTTTAGACAAATTCAGTTACACAAGGGACATGACAAGCATTTAAGATAGAAAAATGAAATAAAAATACCACGTATGAAGTCGTAGTTGTCTTCAATGTATAAAAGAAAACAATTGTGGGGAGATGGTACAATTTGAGTTACATTAAATATAATGAAGTCCTTAAAAATGAGATGGTTAAAGTGGTAACTCCAGGGAAGTATAGAAACACAAGGGAATAAAATAAGAATCCAGGATTTTATGATATATGACATTTTTTACTCTGAAACCTGTTGATTCTATGTTATGTTCTCTCGATGAAGATATTGGAAGGACGAAACATTTCAAAAGTTGCAAAAAAGAGACAGACAGACAAGTGAAAGATCAAAGGAATCCAGACACCTTAAAGTAACGTCAGATATAGAACATTTGACTATTCTAGCATGGAATGTGTATGTCCGACGATGAAATAGAACTTTACGAATTTTTCATCACTATCAAAAGCGATATCAAAAGATTATATATCAGAGGAACAATGCATCTGTCACCAATCATGAATTTTTGTTTGAATGTAGATGAAGATACTCTTCATGCAGATTTGTCCAATTGATAATCCCCGTAAAGGTTGGAAATTGTTTGTAAACCTTACACTATAGAAGTATAAATAAAATAAATAATAAAATAAAATAAAACTTTTGGAATGAAGTCAGAGCGCTGAAGTAAAAGTTGACATTATAGTAGAGGAAGTACTTAATATGGATCTCTATCTTTCCCAGCATATCTTGAAATTTATTTCAATCAACAAATAGGCATTAGGCAAAGGTATTTTCTTTATGCAGCTGATCAACACTTAACATAAAATCAAATAATTTATAAAAAAAGGAAGGGCAGACAAAAGAGTACATATGAAGAGAAACTACAGCAAGCAGAGTTCCTGGAAAAAAATGAATAAAAATACTGAAAACAATGAGACCCTGGAAAAGAAACCAGATAAAAATGCTGAAACACTGGAAAAGAGACAATCAGAACTTCATGTATAATCAAAGCAGTAATGAAGATAAAAAAACTAAATTTGACCAAAAACTGTAAAAGATGAATATTAGAACAACATAGGTGACGTTTTGGTTATAATTCGTCCTCCACATCCTGTAGGTAGGAAATATTAAATAGATAACCCAGTGTGGAAGGAGGCTGTATGTAAAACAAAACAAATAAAGTGAGATGTCCTTTGTGTTATCTTTTGTCTTTGGTGTTACAACTTCTTTTTTTGACATACAAATACTTGTACATGCACCGATCTATGATTCTAGGTCCTATGTTAGTAATCCTGCATTATTCATGCATAACTTATTTTTATTTTTTGTTGATGTTTGCGTATCTTTATAATTGGACAATTATGTCTATGTTGTTACTTTTTAATCATTAATGTTACTAGTCGGACTCCAAATGTAAAAAAGAAATGAAATCTCAAGCAATTTTTTCTTAAAATCATATACTTTCATTAACATCTATTAGATAATGCCATTGTTGTGCTTTTTGCGGGGGAAGGGGAACAAATTTATTATTTAATCTTAAGGTTTGAACAAAACGTCTTTTGTGTTACTTTTATGTCCTTTGTGTTATGAATATGTCCTTGGTGTAACTCAACCATTTTTCCTGAATTTATTTTCTAAATCTTTCTACAATTTTATCAAAACTTGCTATACAATCCTGTTGTCTTCTAATACAAAGTATATTCACAAAGCCAGTGTTTCATACTGTTTCATGCTGAGGTAAAATGACATATGCTTAAGATATATATGTAAGAATAATCAAATTTTATAATTTTAACAACTTTCAGCTTCATGTCATCTGAAATTTCTTTCTTAAGAACCCTCAGTTTGTTTTGATAGAATATTTTTGATCAAGATGTTGAGATGATGATTCTAGAAACCTTAAATTTTTGTAAACTGTATGATACCTTCCAAAATGTACAGAATGGGTGTCTTAAATACTTAGAGTACGGGTTTGCCAGTATAATCGACTGTGCAGAGGCATCGTCCCCTGGTACCCTCTGTATCCAAGTTACCTTTTCTTTACATTAACTGTATGCTACCTTCAAGATCACAGATTTACATTTATACATGATAGTACCATTAGTTTATATATATACATATATTTGTATGTAAATCATTATTTTTGTATGCATGGATATGTGTAACAGTGAGTGTATGTTTGTGTATGTGGGTATACATATATTCAGATTAGAATGTTAAATATCTATTGAACTAACTCCAAGAGATTAGTTTGCATCAAGTTTACAATTATGTGCTAAGTACTTATTAATTGAAATTATTATTTTTGTTAATACTTAAATGATTTTTTTGAATGACCGTCTTCAATACTTAGGGTACAGGTTTGCCTGACTGGCTGTATAGAGGTATCATCCCCTGGTGCCCTTTGTATTCAAGATGCACTAGTTACACATCAGAGTACTACCATTATTACAAGAATTTTTTTTTTATCTTATATTTATTATTTTTATTTAATTGTTTTTTTTTTGTTTTGTTTTGTTTTTTAGCTCACCTGAGCCAAAGGCTCAAGTGAGCTTTTCTGATCAAAATTTGTCCGTCGTCTGTCGTTGTTGGCGTTGGCGTTGGCGTTGTCGTTGTCGTAAACTTTTCACATTTTCATCTTCTTCTCAAGAACCACTGGGCCAATTTCAACCAAACTTGGCACAAAGTATCCTTTGGTGAAGGGGATTCAAGTTTGTACAAATGAAGGGCCATGCCCTTTTCCAAGGGGAGATAATCATGATTTAGAGAAAAATTATTGGCATTTTTAAAAAATCTTCTTCTCAAAAACCACTGGGCCAGGAAAAATGAAACTCATGTGGAATCATTCTCAGGTAGAGTAGATTCAAGTTTGTTCAAGTCATGACCCCCGGGGGTAGGGCGGGGCCAAAATGGCCGATCAAAGTTTTACATAGGAATATATAGGAAAATCTTTAAAAATCTTCTTCTCAAGAACCATTGAAACAGGAAAGATGAAACTCATGTGAAATTATCCTCAGGTAGAATAAATTCAAGTTTGTTCAAGTCATGACCCCCGGGGGTAGGGCGGGGCCAAAATGGCCCATCAAAGTTTTACATAGGAATATATAGGAAAAATCTTTAAAAATCTTCTTCTCAAGAACCACTGGGCCAGGAAAAATGAAACTCATGCGGAATCGTCCTCAGGTAGAGTAGATTCAAATTTGTTCAAGTCATGACCCCCGGGGGTAGGGCGGGGCCAAAATGGCCGATCAAAGTTTTACATAGGAATATATAAGAAAAATCTTTAAAAATCTTCTTCTCAAGAACCACTGGGCCAGGAAAGATGAAACTCATGTGGTTTCATCCTCAGGTAGTGTAGATTCAAGTTTGTTCAAGTCATTTGGCCGTTAAAAACGACCAAATGATGTAACAAATTCCAATCATGATGGACAGCGCCATTTTGAAAATCTAGATAAGAGAATCGGAAACGGTCAACTCTCCAAATAATCTCAAATGCAGAGTTGTCGTTC